GAGCTGCCAAAATGGCCTTGATTCCTTTTAAGAATGTCAGTGCTCTTAGTGTGATACAAAATATAGAGAGTTTTAGAGCAAAAGGAAATATAGCCTAGTACACATGTATCTAGAATTGAATTATTTTATGTCTTTCCTCTTCTCTTTGTCTTCTAGAAAGAGCATGGTATTTAGTATCAGAGAAACTGTGTTTCAATCCTGGCTTTACCTCTTATTAATCATAAAACCTACAGTTAGTCGGTAAATTCTTTGTGGCCCTGTCTTCCTATGCAACATGGTGCTGATGATAACATGTTTTGTTGCTGCTTATTTTCAAGCCCCTGCCAATGTTACTTTGACTCTGTAAAGCTTCCCTTGTCCATTCCTGAGCTGGAGTGGTGTTGGTCCTCTGTCCTCTATCGTAGTAATTTTCCACACCATTTATTTTCTTATTTTTCTCCCCCAGTAGATGGTGCATCCACAGGCGAGTGCATCTCTGTCTTGTTCACATTTGTAACATGCACACTAGGGCATAGTTGATGCTCAGTTAAATCCTTAGCCATGAGAAATCCGTGACAATAGCCATCTAACTTGGACTTGCTCCATTGCTAACTTTATTCAGATGATGCAGAAGGTGATACCGTCTCATTCAAAGAGCCACATTATATATAATCCTGGAGACCTGCCTGCTGCATCACTCCATGTGAATAGATTCCTCCAAAAAATAAGGCAGGCCGGGCAGGATTGTCTAGGTGTGGCTATCATGCTATTTGTCATTTTCTCTTCTTTGTATTTTTTATGAATTAAAAAATGACAGGAATAGAATACATAAGCATTGAGGAGCCCATGAGGCTGAATACATCAGTTTTCAAGGTTTATGGGCTTTAGGAACATTGTCAAAGATGTGTGCTCATCCCCTCAGGTTCTTTCTGTCTAGCCTAAGAGCATGTTTGCCCTTTAAAAATGTAATTACTGGAGACTAGTTAGCGGGCTATTGCATTAGTTAGGTGACAGAAAAGGTAAGTGCACTGACAAAGCCATGAAGATGATCGTTGAGGGGCAGAGTAGAGTCTTAGAAAATAAGAATTGGTGGGCTTTGGCAACTTTATAAAACATGGAATCAGGAGAATAAGTGAAAAGTCAACAATGATAACCAGGCTTCTGATTTTAGCAACTGCAGTGAGTGATGGTGCTGATGGCTGAGGAGATTTTTCTTCTTCTTTTGTTTATCTCGTTATTTATTTTTGAGTGAGACATATTGTTTTCAATTTTTGGATATGTTGATTTTGAAATTTTGGGGAGCACCTGGATTGACGTGGCTCACTAAGCTGTTGAAAATTAGAGCTGGATGTCAGGAGAGAGATCACTATTTCAGAACTGAGAACAGTGAGCATATACATGAGCTCTGTGTATGCATGATGTCATGGATGCAGAGAGAGAACTTAATCAAGACAAGAGAAAAAGACAGTCCTGTGAAACATCAACTTCCTTTAAAGGAGTATATGAAGAGATACTTTCTTCGTTCTCTGTAGGATGGTCCCAGGAAGAGAAAAGAACTAGGGAAGATTGGTTTCCCAGAAGCCAAGGAAATACAGAGTTTCAGGAAGGAAGATGAGCTCAAAAGTCACGAGTGCTGCAGTGGCGTGGGCGGTTCACATAAGCACGCTATTTGGGGGATTGGATAATTAGTAGAAATTTGATTATGACATTTCAGGGGAATTCTGGGGAAAAGCCTAAACTGGATTTAGGGGTAAATGGGATTTGGGCCATTCTTAAAGGAAATTGGACCTTGAAGGGAAGAACAGTAATAAGCAGTGATTAGAGGCACATGCAGGAAGGAATACAGTTTGAAGGGTTTTTTCTTTCCCTCTATGCTAAGAGACACGTGAACATTTTTGAAGTCTTAAGGGAAAGGAAACTGTAATGGGGAAAGAGATTGAAGATATTGGATAAAGATGGGCTTATGGAAGGATTTTAATTCCTAAAGAAGATAGAAAGATGGGCCGGCTCCGTGGCTTGGCGGTTAAGTGCACGCGCTCTGATGCTGGCGGCCCGGGTTCGGATCCCGGGCGCGCCCCAAGGCACCACTTCTCCGTCCAGCCCGAGGCCGAGTCCCACGTACAGCAACTGGAAGGATGCGAACCTATGACATGCAGCTATCTACTGGGGCTTTGGGGGGAAAAAACTGAATAAATAAAATCTTTAAAAAAAAAAAGAAGATAGAAAGAATAGGATTAAATATCTGGATGATATTTCTCCTCTGGTGCCATTAGCCTTGTATCAAAGGAGAAACACCTCTTTATTTGAATCACAAAGGAAAGTGATAAAGATAATTAAGGTTGTAGAAAAGTTTCTGAAATGAGATTATGTATATGAGCTTAGTTGACTGGGAAGCATTTTGTCAAAAAAATTATTGTTATAAGGAATATATTTCCTTTTTGAAAAGTGTGTGTTTTTTCTCTTGATCAGTTTTACCTACTTTTTTTGTGTGTGTGTGTGAGGAAGACTAGCCCTGAGCTAACATCTGATGCAAATCCTCCTCTTTTTTGCTGAGGAAGATTGGCCCTGGGCTAACATCCATGCCCATCTTCCTCTACTTTCCATGGGACGCCGCCACAGCATGGCTTGACAAGTGGTGCGTCGGTGCGCGCCCGGGATCCGAACCTGAGAAGCCTGGCCGCCGAAGTGGAGCGCGCACACTTAACCAATACACCACCAGGCCAGCACCTCAGTTTTACCTACTTTTAAAGACAATTAAATATTTTCACAAACTCTTGAATACTGCAGGAAACTTTGTTCTTCCTTGTTCCCAGCAACTGAAAAGTACATTTACCAGCAAAGCGTATCAATTTCATGATCAAATTAATTGTTGCTCAAAATTTTTCATAGAAATATATATTTATGTATATATGAAAGTGATGTTAATGTGTTTTGGAATTGTTTGATCTATTCAAATGACTTTTTTTCTTTGCTGAGGAAAATTTGCCCTGAGCTACCATCCGTGCCAATCTTTCTCTATTTTTTAGTATATGGGCTGCCTGCACAGCATGGCCGTTAACAGAGTGGTGTAGGTCTATGCCTGGGAACCGAACCTGGGCCACTGAAGCAGAGCACGCCGAACTTAACCACTAGGCCACCGGGGCTGGCCCTCAAATGACTTTTTTACAAATATTAGAAATAATAAGGTTAATATATGTTGGTGACACAAGTGAGCATATTTTGTCAAAATGATTTTCTTCAGATATTTTTTCACTAATGCTTGTTAAATAATAAGCTGAGTATTTTGAAATACCCTACAAAATGATAAGTTTTTATTAGTAGGCTTCTCGTTTCACAAACCTCTGTTTTACCAGACTTTCAGAGGCCTCAGGAGCTGGCAAGTTGAATCTGCAACTTGAGATTAATAATAGCAATACAGTAGTCCCCCCTTTCTGAGGTTTCGCTTTCCAAGATTTCAGTTACCCACAGTCAACTGCGATTCAGAAATATTAAATGGAAAATTCCAGAAATAAACAATTCATAAGTTTTAAATTGTGCACCATTGTGAGTAGTGTGATGAAATCTCACACTGTCCCACTCCGTCCTGCTCGGGACGTGAAGCATCCCTTTATCCAACATATCACCCAGTACACCCTACCCACCCATTAGTCACTTAGTAGCCATCTCAGTTATCAGATGACTGTCCGCAGTATGGCAGTGCTTGGGTTCAGGTAAGCCTTAGTTTACTTAGTAATGGCCTCAAAGTGCGAGAGTAGTGGTGCTGGTAATTTGCGTATGCCAAAGAGAAGCCGTCAAGTGCTTCCTTTAAGTGAAAAGGTAAAAGTTCTCGACTAAATAAGGGAAAAAAAAAAAATCGTATGCTGAGATTGCTAAGATCTATGGTAACTTTTATTATATTACATTTTATTTTATATTTTATTTATTGTATATTGTTATAATTTTTTTATATTTTATTTTATATTTTATTTATTGTAGTATATTGTTATAATTGTTCTATTTTATTATTAGCTCTTTTAGTTAATCTTGGTGCCTAATTTATAAATTAAACTTTATCATTGGTATGTGTAATATAGGAAAAAACGTAGTATATGCAGGGTTTGGTACAGTTTCAGGCGTCCGCTGGGGGTCTTGGAACGTATCCCCCACGGATAAGGGGAGACTACTGTAGTCAGGCCCAATAGAGGTGCCAAATGTTTGTGAGATACTTGCTGATTACAAAAGAATAGGGACAGACCAAACAGCTCTCTGTGAGTCCAATTCCCGGACACCATATTTTCATAAACATGATTATAATGGATTTAGGTCACAAGGTATGGGGTCTAGAATGGCTGGGATAATCCATGTGACCACTGCCTGAGGAGCCCCCATGGAATCTGAGGTTCTGTGGGCAAAAGCGTGTCTCACAAGAGTGAACTGAAATTTGCCCAATGTTCTGAGTTCAAGGTTATTTGACCAAATCCAAAAATTAAGGAAATAACAATGTGAATAACATTCAGTCTTTTTCTTTGTTCCTTTATTGTATCTGATTAAATTCTGATTCTCTTTATCCTGTTGACTCAGATTACTGTTGCCTTTGGGGCAGTCATGGACCAATATTTCCCCAGCAATATGGCTAATGAGAGAGGCATCTCATATTTAAGTATATATATCTCACTGCCTTAGATAAGTTTTCTTTCTGAAGTGATGAAAAAATGTACATGCTCCAAGGAGAAATCCAGGTGGTTTGTAATTCTAGTGGGAGAGAAAAGACAGCTGGAAGGGGGAAGGTTCAGTGGGGGGAAAGGGCTTTTTGAAAATACTTCTTAATACTTTCTAATGCAGTATAAATGGAACTGATACCTCTCCAGTATTTTCTCTCCTGAGGAATCATTTCCTTCCATTTAGAATTTATTTTTATAGTACCCGGTCAGCATTTTTATGGCCCCGTTAACCATTTTTATTTTTGAAATATAAAATAAAAATTTGTGGTTTTATGTATAGTAATACAGTCCTGTCTCCAAATTTCTGTTTTCTTCTTGCAGAGGCTTGCTTCTACAGGAGAACAGCAGGTTTGCAGAAGCACTGCATTATTATAAATTGGCAATTGGGAGCAGGCCTACACTGGCTTGTAAGTAATATTCAAGTTCTTTTAAAATACTTTTTTTCCATCCTTCTTTATCTATGAAACTTATCTTGGTGACTTATAGTCTCACAGAGAAAAAACCATGGCACTCCTATTTCTCAATACTTGCCAATCAAATTATGAGCCTCTAACAATGACATCTCTCTCAATTTAGACATACTTTGATATCTGTTTATCATTTTGTAATATATTAAGATAAATATAATTTTTATTCATCTATATTTTAAGCTCAAAGTATTTTGAGCTCCTTGAGGGCAGAGACTACTTTGTATATTTTTCAGTGACACCTGTACTTCTTAATACATTATTGTTCCCATATATATTTGTTCCCTCAGTATTTATTTCTTGGTTTTCTTTTAAAATCAGAAATAATCCATATCAGCTAAACTAAAGTAAAGATAACTTTATTGTATCCACAGTGCACATTATCTTCTCACATTTATATTTCCACTTTTTTCTCTCAGCTGCCTATCTAAACACCGGTATTATTCTAATGAACCAAGGAAAAACTGAAGAAGCCCGGCGCACGTTCCTCAAGTGTTCCGAGATCCCTGATGAAAACCTAAAGGACCCTCATGCACATAAGAGCTCGGTCACCAGCTGCCTGTACAACCTGGGAAAACTTTATCATGAGCAGGGCCACTACGAGGTCAGCCAGCACCGCTCTGCCCTTTCCTTCTACCCAATGATCTCATTGCAGAGACACTGGATCATTGAAAAAGCTAATACATGTTTTTATTAAAAGAGTTTTATGGTTAAATGCGTTTGGAAAAACCTCTGCTAAACAAAACTTAACAGATTTCTTTATTGTGAATTTCTCAGAGCAATTGTGACTCTTCAAGAAAGGGAAATAACGTGCATTGCTTCTCTAGCTTATTTGCTCACCATCTTTTTGCTTTTATGATCCAAGACACGTTATAGTTTTTGTCATATACCCAGTGTTTGAGGTTAAAAAGTACATTGTTTGTGCCCTGAGTATGGAAGAAGTGATTTGATGTAAATCCTACTCATTTCTTTTAGTTCTTTTTAAAACAAAAATGAAAATTAATTTTGTTTTTTTTTTATTGAGGAGAGAGGAAAAGTGATGGAGACAGGCCTTGTACAACAAGTGGAGGTTTACCTGGGCTTGTCCCCGCTTTGTCTCACTCGAAGCATGCCTGTCTGGGTTTCTTCTCTGACGTTCAATATTGCTCCTCCCATTCGCTCTCTCGCAGCGGCACCCCCCCTACTCTTACATGATGGATTAAGACTGCAAAACAAGGGGCCGGCCCCGTGGCTTAGCAGTTAAGTGCACGCGCTCTGCTACTGGCGGCCCGGGTTCAGATCCCAGCGCACACCAACGCACTGCTTCATGGCCACGTCCCACATACAGTACTAGAAGGATGTGCAGCTATGACATACAACTATCTACTGGGGCTTTGGGGAAAAAAAGGAGGAGGATTGGCAATAGATGTTAGCTCGGAGCTGGTCTTCCTCAGCAAAAAGAAGAGGATTAGCATGGATGTTAGATCAGGGCTGATCTTCCTCACAAAAAATAAATAAATAAAAGACTGCAAAATAAGGATAAAGATACAACCTTTAAAGTAATTGCATTTAATAATCTCTGTGAGTGTCAGCTAGAATATTTGCTAGTTGATATTTTATTTAGATTCTACTTGGTTGCCTGAAAAGCAAGTAGAGATTTTAGATGACTATGGGTGACTTCCAAATATGAATTTTTCTAATTTTTTTATTGAATAATCTATGTGAACTGAACAATTTATATTAAAATAAAAGAGCATAGGTAACATTCGACTCCTTGTTAAACTAAATTTTTATCTGGCCTTCTTCACTGGTCGGGTTGAATATTTTCATTCATACATTGAGTATGACATCAAAGGATGGCTCAATTATTTTCCTCTACCGAACTACTTAGAAACAACAATGGGAGGTTTTAATTTTGGAAGGATGTTATTATTTTATTTTCAGTAAATATCCCTGTACTTTATTTACTTTTTTTTGTTTCTTAAATTAGGATGCCCTGAGTGTATATAAGGAAGCAATTCAGAAGATGCCCAGGCAGTTTGCCCCACAGAGTTTGTACAACATGATGGGTGAGTAAAATATTAGTATTTTAATTGATGTTTCAGGGATCTGTGGAGAAATTAAAACCTGTGCTTCTGTTAAATGAAATTCTAATAAATCCCATCATTTATCCTTACACACACAAAAAATCTCTTTCACAATTGGGTGTCACATTCAAATCTTCACAAAGCACACTTATTCTGACAAGAGCAATGAAGTGCATTAGCATAGTGATTCGCAACAAATTGGCCAGATCCCAGAGTTGTTGCAAGGGGCTCCCAAACCCATTTGGGTATCGACTATTGCTAGACTCTAGAGTTTGAAAAAGATGAATAAAGTACATGTGTATTTTAATGCATTTATCAAATTCATGATAATTTTTAATTATTTTTTTTCTTAGTTAGAAGATCTTCAAAAGTAAACATGCTATGATGTAGAGATTCGTGATTTTGATGTTTATAAAAGATGGGAATAACTGAGCCAACTTGTATGGTTTTCATTGGGCCTTGGATCGCAGCAAGTTTTTTTCAGAGTAGTATTTTAGAGTAAAAATGATAGTGTGAAGAGTGTAAAAGTGCTACTACAGTTATTCCTTTTTCTACATGGAATAATTACTTAATTCTCATATTAGTCAGAAAGTACAGGGCCGGCCCTGTGGCTTGGTGGTTAAGTGCGCGCGCTGCGATGCTGGTGGCCCGGGTTCGGATCCCGGGTGCGCATCGAGGCACCACTTCTCCGT